ATTACTATTATAAAATGAATAAACTAGTACAAATATTACTTGTTAAACCCAATTTACCGTTGACCGCTAGTTCGGTTGAAAAATTGGCGTGGCCTGCTTGGTTCGAGGCTAAACACGTGTATGTTCCTCTATGTATCGATGAGACCGAGTCTATAGACAGGCTGCTGGATTTATGGCCAATTTTGGTAACAGTTATACCCAGAATATCCTTCACGTTGATGCCGTTCAAACTCCACATGATATTGATAGGAGCGTCGCCCTTGGTCACCATACATTGGACACCGACAGTATCCCCCGCGTTGGCCGGTTCATCGCCGAAAGTAAACGGGTGAATTTGGGGCAAAACTGTACAATGATGCGTATGAATATAAACAAAGCATGTAATTAAGGCGGATTGGTCTTAGTTCCCTTCAATACTACAACTCATGTCTCGCAAGAAGCTTTTCATACAATAGATTAACAATTTTAAATAGAAAGAAATAATGAAGACTTTTAATACAATTTATACAGATTATATATAACGTATTTAACAAGCAGAGGAATTTTTTATATTGGTTTACATATTGGGCGTCATCACACGTTATGGATGTGGTTATAAGGGTAATTAAATATGTAGACAAGCGACAGGCACAATGTGACCCCATAATTTAATACCGATAACGTTGAGTACGGCGGTGTGGTTCGCAGAGCCTGCCTTGTTGGTTGCAGTGCAAGTGTAGTTGCCGCTATGACTGCCTAGGGCACTCGTTATATCCAGTATCGAAACCCTCGCACTTGGTTTGGTTGTCTTTATACCCATATTATCGGTTACAGGTTTTCCTTGAAAGCTCCAAGTTATGTTGAGGGGCAGATCGCCCTTGGATACGTAGCAGTCGATATGCGCCGTTTCTCCCGCAAACACGGCTTCATCCAGTTCGTATGGTCTGATGTGCGGAAGGACTGAGGAATTGCTCACATGTTGAAACATTTAACAATGGAACTTAATAAATCATAAACCTAACCGTTGATTAAAACCTAGAAGAACCGATTATAGTACCTATAATTTCGTAATATTATATTAATGTTAAAACCTTTTTTTACGTATGTATCGTTGCCATTGATTTTAATTATTTGATTAAACCGTGATTATCGTATTAGTAATAAACAAAAATGGAATCTCGTAAACATAAAAATAACAAAAAAATTAACGCAAATAAAAACTCAAGGACGCTGTTTTTATGTTAAAAGAATCCATGCGTATTCGTTTAACATAAGGAAAACATACAATAAGCCGCAACGACAAAGACAAGGCGGGACGCAACAAGACTGACCGCGTACGTTAATGACAGTAGAATGGTTGGCGAGGCCTGCGCTGTTGGCGGCTGAGCACGTGTAGCGACCGCTGTGGCCAGCACCCGCCGCCGCAATCGACAGGAACGACATACGTGACGTCATCTTTGTCGTCATTATACCCAAGTTAGATGAAGAATTATCCAATCCATGAAAATGCCATTTGATATCAAGCGGCAGGTCGCCTTTCGAGACGTGGCACGTAAGCTGCACTGACTCTCCAGCGAACACTGACTCGTCGGCCTCAAAGGGTACGATATGTGGCATTGCTGTTAATTAGGAAAGCCGTATGATTATAAAGGTAAGCGTGCAACGTGCGACGAAGGCTAGGAATGTTTTGCGTGTGAGAGGTACCGTGTACATTGACCAAGGTGGAATGGACCGCGAGGCCAGCATGGTTGCTCGCATGACAAGCGTATTCTCCGCTGTGGCTCGCGGAGGCGCTAGCTATAGTCAGTAACGATGTTCTTTGCCCGATCTTCATAGTCGTTATTCCCTGGTGCGATGATAAATCTTTTCCGTGAAAACTCCATGTTATAGCAATAGGCGTATCGCCCTTGTTGATATGACAGTTCAACTGCATAGATTCTCCAGCGAAAATCGGCTCTTCAGCCTCAAAAGGAACGATGTGCGGAGGAACTGATAAAGGGAATTCGTAAATAAACAAAAATAAAATTATAAAACACACATAACAAATAAAGTGTACCCTGGACGTTTAATATAGCAGTGTGGTTTGTGCTCGCAACTGTATTGGACGCTGTGCAAGTGTAATTTCCGGAGTTTTTCTCAGTGACAGATGGTATAGCCAGTATCGACGAGCGATGTCCTACTTTGGTAACCGTTACCGCGTTAGAGCTCTTTAAAGGATGATCGCGAAATAGCCATTGAAGGTTTAGCGGCATATCGCCTTTAGGAATATGACACATTACTTGAATACTTTCTCCGTAGAATACAGCTTCATCAAATTCGAAAGGGGATATGATCGGTGCCACTGTAAGAGATTTTTTTTTAACATTAATAAACTATAGGTTGTTTGCATACGAGGGATAAAGTGGGGGGTAACTAAACACGAAAAGCGTATTGCAAGGACGGCGTAGTGTACCCTTGACATTGAGCGTGGCGAGGTGGCTAGCTCTGGCGACCACATTGGCTGCGGTGCACGTGAAATTGCCGGAGTGCGCGGCGGTCACGGCGGGAATAATGAGAGCCGAGCCCATGTCACCCACATTCATGATGTTCAACCCGGGGAGCGAACTCACATCTCCTCCGTTGAAACTCCACTTGAAGGTTAGAGGCTTATCTCCTTTCGGCACGTGGCACATCACTTGAACTCCCTCGCCATAAAAAACTGACTCGTCAAAATCGAAAGGCGTAATTATCGGTGCGACTGAAAATAATGTTAGCATATTCTACTCATTACATGAAATATTCTGAAAAAGAATTTAAAACTTTTACTTTATGGCCCGCCAAAGTTATAGGAGAGGGTAGGATGTCAAAATTATGCATAGAAAATACGTTTAATTTCTACGAAATTATAAGCTATGGATTATTGAGTTGATACCATTAACAAAGAGTTGCGCGGTGTAATTCACTGAACCGGCTTCATTTTTGACGACACACGTATAGTTTCCTTGGTTCTGGTGGCTGACTGAATCGATGCTAAGTTGGCTGGAGCGCTTCGTGTTCATAAGATTGATTCCGATGTTACCAGATTTTACTTTATTCTTGTTAAAATACCAATCGATAGTTAAAGGTTGATCGCCTTTGTTTACAGTGCAAGTGACCAAAACCATTTCTTGGGCGTTTATTGGTTCTTCGCCAAAATCGAAGGGTTTTATTTGAGGGGGAACTGCAGGATGTAGGAAGAAAAAAAGTTTGAGAAAGCAAATGAATAGATGTACCGTTGACGTATAGCTCCGCGGTGTGATTTACCGAACCCGCTTGATTTTTGACCAGACACGTATAGTTGCCTTGGTTGCGATGACTGACAGATTCTATAGTGAGTTGGCTGGTTCTTTTCGAGTTTGCAAGTACGACACCGTTTTCCCCGGATCTTAATACTTTCCCATCGAAGTACCATTGTATTATGAAGGGAGAGTCCCCTTTGCTAGCCGTACAGGTTACGACCAGCATTTCTTGGTCATTGACAGGTTCGGTCCCGAAATCAAAGGGCATTATTTGTGGTGCAACTAAGTGGTAGAAAACATTGTTTCTAATATTAAATATGGAATTATTACGATTATTGGACGTTGTAGGAAATAAAAGATAGCATTGGAAACTAAAAAGTGCAAACAAAAGCAAAATAAACATTTTTATGTACTGCTATCGTGATTCATTGCGATGTTGTACCGTTGACATTAAGCAGCGCGCTATGACTGCTGCGACCAGCCTCGTTCTCAGCAATGCACGTGTAGTTACCGATGTGCTCGTGCTGCACATTCTCTATGCTCAACACTGAAATCCTTTTTCCATTCCTATTTATGAGGATACCGTTTCCAGAGTTGAGGACTTCGTTATTAAGTTGCCAATGGATGTTAAGTGGTAAATCTCCTTTGCCTACTGTACATGTCAGTGACACTGTGTCGCCAGCGTTTAAAATTTCCTCCCCGAAATCGAATGGTGTTACCTGAGGTACAACTAATAACATTTTCTCTATTATTATCTACAAGTCTTTGATGCATTTAATTCAGTAAATTACGATAGATTATCGCGGTATATTTTTGTTTACTTCTGTATGCTGTCGACAGGGATATACTCGAAAATAGGAGAAGGATGGGAATTATGGTTAAAAAAACTGTTAAACTGATTTCAGTTAAAGGCATTTACCGTTGACCGCTAGCTCTGTTGAATAATTTGCATGACCCGCTTTGTTCGCGGCCAAACAGGTGTATACTCCAGTATGTACTAAAGACACTGAATCTATTGACAAAGTGCTAGATTTATGCCCGATCATAGTGACGGTAATTCCTGGAATTGCTTTGATATCTTTTCCATTTAACATTTAATTGTAATTGGTGTATCTCCCTTTGTCACCATACATTGGACGCCGACCATGTCACCCGCGTTTGCCGGCTCGTCCCCGAACGTAAACGGATGGATTTGTGGTAAAACTGTTGTAACAGATTAAAGTAGGTTTTATAGAAAACTTACATATGAATAAAGTGATTATAAATATTTAATGTTTTAAACTCAAACAGTGCTGGCGGTCGTATCACCTGATTTGAGGTTGAAGATAGAAATGAACAAGCGGCAAACAAAATCAAAAGTAATACCATCTAACATTCAAAAATAACTGTTTTTAACCGTTTACGCTTAACAACGTCGTGTGATTGGTTTCGCCGGCTGTATTTTTCAATCTGCATGTGTAGGAGCCGCGGTGGGCGTAGTTAACAGATTCGATATTCAGTATTGAGGTTTTCTTGCTGATCGTCGTGAGAACGATATTGAGAGAGTTATGCGGTTTTATCTCCTCTCCATTGAAGAGCCACTGGAAGGTGACTGGGAGGTCACCCTTGTTCATCACGCAAGACACGGAAGCGGTTTCGCCTTCGTTAAGTATCTCCTCGCCAAACTCGAACGGGGTAATTTGCGGTGGAACTATGAATACGGGCATAGGAAAGAGGATGTATTAAACTATAAGGAGATGTAATTGCAAGTGTTTTTGAGTGTACCGTTGACTTCGAGTACAGCGCTGTGGTTGGCGATGCCGGCGGCATTTTTAGCCACGCAGTAGTATAGACCACGATGGATTGCGGCCACGGAATCGATATTTAGTATGGATGTCTTTTTATTGATGTTAGTGATGGTGACGCCGAGGTCATTGTTTCTACGCAGGGCGTGTCCGTTGAGGGTCCAGGAGATTTCGAGAGGCTGGTCGCCCTTGTTGACGGCACACGTGACGGAAGTCAAATCTCCCGCGTTCGCCGGCTCGTCGCCGAATTCGAACGGTAAGATCTGAGGCGGCACTAATATAACTCGTGTTAATAAGCCTGCGTCCACGCGTCTCGGTAACGAACTTTGGCGGGCATAAACTTCTACACTATTTGCTTATCTTCCTAATGTTTGCTAAATAAATCTTGATTGACACACACATAGTTTTTAAAAAGAACACCCAGAAGTGGAAAAAATCTGAAAGAAATTATTAGACACGCTAATTAAATAATGTCATAATTTTTTCTAATAACTTTGTTTATTATAATTTGTTATTGCCAAAACTTAGTTATCTAAGTTATAAAAATAAGTAAAATAAAGATAGGCAAAAATTATTTATTTTAGTAATGTAACATTATGACATTATTTAAAGGAAGAGCTCCTGAGAGTGTATATGTTCTTTTTAAATGGAATTTTGATAAATTCTTATGATTTTATTAAACTTTGTTTTTTTTTTTTAACTCAGGATGTCACTTTCTACAAATAAAACAAAAAATATTTAACACTTTCAAACATTTTAGATTTCAAAAATTGAATAAAACACCTACAATAGTACATATAAATATTGTTGTTTGCTGCTATCAGCTGTTCCTATAAATTTGATTTTCTTCTTTTAAATCTGGTTCTTCTTCTTTTAAATTCCTTGTCTATGGTAGCCGAGTTGAATTGAGATATAAAAAGATAATGCTAATATGCTTATAATGATTACTCTTTCGTTATTTTAAACAGTAATAGACCATGAGTTTTATTTGCAGAAAGGAAACTCTTCCTAAAACATGAAAATCAACATTTTAATGTAAATGATCTGAATTCATTACTATTTTTAATTTGGAAATGAAAGTGATGAGGTTTTCACCATTTTAGATTTCTAAATTCAAATCATTTACAATAATATTTCATAGAAATTTGCTCAAAATCATGTAATCATTAAAAGGAATAAAAATGTAAGCACAAGATGAAAACCAATAGACAAATAAATTACTGATTTGAGCAAATTTCTGTACGAAACGCAATAGTTTTGAGAGAGATCGACTTACCCATAACTTGCAATTCCAAAGTTCCCTTGGCGGTGTAGCTCTGAGAGTTCTTGGCGACGCAGGTGTAGGTGGCCTGGTCGCTCATGCGCTCCACGTTCTCGATCACCAGCGTGCCGTTGGGGTACACCTTCTGCTTGCGGTTGATGGGCA